GTCGGCGGCAGTTAAAGGCAATGTGAGCGTCCATTCCCATTGGATAACGGAGGATTTTACACCCGGAAGTAAGTATTCCCCTTACTGTCGATTGATTTTACAGTGATATCTGCACTACTCATCAACTCAAGAACACCAGATTATCCTTGTTAATTACACAACATTGATTGGTTTAAATTGTGTACAATGCTTTTGTATTTTTCCCCTTCGTTTCGGAGAAACAAATATTTTTTCGGAGTTTAGGATGGCAGAAGACACTACACTACCCAGAATCCTCAGCTATCGTTTGAGACTACACCATGTGCTTTGCTTCACAAACCCCGTGATTAGTCCTCAAGCTCTGTGATTGGTTAACCTCCAACTGCATTCCAAATGAAAAAAAACGTTTCGTAAAAGATACAATCATACTTTATTCAGCAGTGCTTGCTTTACTCTTTGAAAGTCATCACATGAATGCATTGTAATAAATGGTTCGGCTGCATTAAATATTACACATCTGTCGTAGTTCTTTATTTATCTACAGAGATCTGGGTTGCGTTCCAATAGTCCAAAAATCAGCTCCTAACGTCTAACCCTATCGTCTATTCCTTGACCTCTGAGTGAAAGGTCACAGGGTTAAGGGATAGTGGATAGGAGAATTCAAAAGGACTTAGGAGAAGAGACTGCGGTACTTTAGAGAATCGACTGCACTTTCACTATCCGACGTGTTTATGATGCGCCAGCGGACGTCATGAATGTGCGTCTGCTGCTGTGGGGTAACCATGGAAACTACAGTTTTCTATACAGCGGACTACAACATGGATGTTTAATAAGAACGAGGGACTACTGTAAACTCATCTAGAGACTCTGCACCGTGCTCTGATGCTGTTGCTTTGCTTTATGAACGTGGACAACAGAGAAACATATTCTTCAGGACCAAAGTTGGAATTGAAATAAAAAAGGAAAGTGAAACTTATGCTCGTCACCCTCTCCCTCCGGTCCACATTAATACAAATGATCCCAATACGTATGATTGTATGAAAATATCTTAAAATAAATACAAATGTATTTATTATAAACGTTAGTCCTTAACATCTATCACTGTGTATATCACCATTCACACATCTTTTAAAAGTTGAACAAACCCCACACAGCTCAGTGAAATGTTGACTTTATTTGATCATTTCAGTAAAAACTAACCTTCATATTTCTCTTTTTGATTATAATACTGATGAACGTTCAAAACAAAGCACTTTGGCAACTTACCACATACGTTTTAAAATGCTTAATAAGCACCGTAACTTTCATGATATCATTTCTAGGTCATAATCGGTTGTTTCCATGAACGGCCGACTGTTGAGTGACTAAATGCTGCGGCTGCAATGCATTGTGGGGCAGCATTTTCTCCTCTCCTTTCGTCAAGGGAGGTCCAGTGGTTCCTAAGCTAAAGGAGGTTATAAAGGAAGTTTGAAACCTCTTTTCCTATCATCTAGAGCAGTGTTTCTCAAACTTTTTCATACCAAGGACCACTTAACCAATAAAAAAACACTCGCGGACCACCTAACTCCACAAATGTCCAAAAACACATCGTTTTTTACAAATTGCCTGAAAATGGTACAAACAAGTGGCAACATGTGTGATGAAGGTGTTTATCTGGGCTATATTATGCAATCGAAAGTGAAACTTAAGCTTGCTCCATTGCGGAGATATTCCCGCGAGAGTACGAACAACTTTAATTAATTAATTTATTTAAAATGTGACATTTTACCAATATACTCACGGACCACTAGGGGGCGCTCACGGACTGGAAGCACTGATCTAGAGCAGTGGTTCCCAACCTGGGGGGGGGGGGGGGGGGGCGCCAAAGATCGCAGGGGGGGCGCCAGGCCTCAGATGATTTGAGGCCAAATATCATATTTAGACTTTTTTTAATTTTTTTACATATAATTGTAACGCAATACATGATTGTCACTAAAAGCCTCTTCTCTACATTACAATAAAATATAAAAAATAATTGACTAATTAATTTTAATAAAAATTCAAGTTAGTATTATAGGCATAAAAAGACAGAAATGTATAATTCTTTCTTTAATAGAAATGTTTCTTCTGCCCGTAAAGTGTCCAAACCGGGCTTTTCTGGATAAGCGCATCTTTAAAACATAGTCATTGTCCATGCCGGTTTCAGTTGGATTATTTGTCACAGTTGCTCCGATCAGATCGTTCTCCTCCATTTTGTAGATTATTTACGACTTTTGAATCCACATAAACACATCGGCAAAATCCGGTTTACTTTGAGCGTGTGTTTTAAACAGTTTAATCCCTTTGTGAATTGTTTCCACTTCCGCGCCGTCCTTTAATTTCTTCATACAGCGGGAATCCAAATGAATGAATCCTGAGTCCAATAACCATCAAAGTCACTCCAATAGTGCTCCTTAATTACGCTTTCATCCTCCTTTAACAAAATACTTCACATTCATCCAGTTTGTGACAGTAGTTGGAGCATTTTTGAGACTTTGAAACTTTAATTACCGCTGTTGCGCCCCCCCCTCCCCCCCCCCCCCCCCTTGTGTGTGTGTGGGGGGTGGGGGGGCACAACTTCAAAAAGGAGTCATTTGGGGGGGCTCTTGGGAAAAAAGGTTGGGAACCACTGATCTAGAGAATTGGAATGGCACTTATCATGGCTGCCACTGAGGGACTTCCGGGTCATTTCACTCCATTAGGAAGGTTCCTAAGCTAAATGGATTATCGGAACGCAACCCCGGCCTCAGAATAGACCAAAAACTATTCTTTTACCGTTCTGTTTTAATTTCACAATAAAGTTAGTAGTAATATTTTGTTTTGATATTATTGTTTTTTATTAACTACTAGACCGCTGGGTCATGTTAAGACCATATTTTCTGTATTGCTGTGGGGTTTTTCCATCGCTTTTGTGTTACAAATATCAAAACAATAACAAAATATATCCGTCGTAAACTAAACCAGAAACAGCAGTATATTTTATTTTGTTAACACTGTAAACTTGACAGCTTTTTAACCCAAACCACCTACTGGTTAAAGCACGTTATTACACGTTTGGAGTAATTGCAATGCTGGTAGATTATGTTGCTTTTTAATGACTGTTTAAAATGCCTTTTTCTTAATGTCTTTCATTTTTGTAAAGCACTTTTGAATGTGTTATATTTGATGAAAACATTTAAATATTAAGAGAACATACAAAATAGGAGGAAAGTAGAAGGTCAATGATATAAATATAGAATAGAAAATATCAAGAAGATACTGTAAATAATATCTAATAAAACAGTTTAGTGCAGGATGTACAAAGATATTAATAGGAGGATGTGCAAAACAGACAAACTAATTAACCTTTATTTAAACATTACATAATCATTTAGGTTAAGGTCTTAATACATGTAAGCAAAACGCTTTGGGGGTATCTGATCAATATTAAGCCTGACAAAGTACTTAACGTCTAATATATTGCATGGTTTGTTTTGGAACTTGACAATCAACTTTCCTGCAATGTTAACTATGTTGAAGCACTTATTTTAACTGATATTATACACATGTATTATACTCTTATAAGATGTATGTAGATAGTATAAGAAATGTGCAGAATATGTTTAATGCTGGAGGTATACACACATATCGATAGATGTCTTGTAATGCGCTGTTGAGGAACCTGTGACCCAAGTTTGTCATCATTGCATAACTATACTGTTGTGTACATGATATGTGAATAAACCTTAGAAAATCTTGAAAGGGATGTGCAAAATAGCAATTATATACAGTCTTTAATTAACTATTAGTAGAGAATAACGAGTAATGAATATACTTTATAGAGATCTGCAGATACATGTTTAGTCTTCTCAAGCAGCAACTATCAAATATCTCTCCTGATTGTTGGCACTTGACAATCACCTCCCCTTAATTTTACTCAGGTGTAACTAAAGTCTGATTTAAGGGTTGTTTATATTTCACATCATTAATCAGAATCTGTAAAGTAACTAAAATAAATGTAGTGGAGTAAAAATACCAGGTTAACCTTAAAGTGGACCTATCATGCAAAATGCACTTTTGTACGTCTTTTATACATGAATATGTGAAGCTGTTTATGAAGCTTCACAACTGCACGCCATAGGACCCTGACCAAGCGTCGCTCCTGGACGTTCAGGGAGTGAGACTGTGTTGGAGGAGCAGGTCAGCCAAAGAGGGAAAACGGGCCGATGCCCAGGCAACATTAGCCCGTACCTTTGCACGTCCCTGGGTTTGGGTAAAATAAGCCATACTGTTAGAGCCAGTTTCTTTTTGGGGAAAGGTCAAATATTATTGTCACCTAGTGGCAACCTCTGTAGCCAGGAAATATTAAATACTACAATTCCCACGGTGCCTTCAAGAGACACATGATATGGGCTTCCTATGTGGAAGACAGCGTTTTTTATAGTTCAATGATATTACGTAAAACATAAAGAAAGACGATCTAAATGTTTTTATCAGTTGGTTTGAGTTTTGCCTCTTTTGTTTCGATTTATTGTAAGGGAATATTTTCTTTGTTGAATGTGTGTGGGAAGAATCTCATTTTATTTTTAGTTAACTACAAGTAGCATAACATGAAGCCATTATCAGAATCCACAACTGTGAGTAAAACTAATACATTCAAAGATAACGCCTTAAATAAATTACAACATGTGCATAAGTACTCCCAAAAATATGTTGAACCTTTGATGTTCAACTCTTGACACTTCCTCTAGAGTTAGAGTAAGAATACACCAAGTATTATGGGTGAAATTAACTCACTGTAAATGCCTTACTACTAGGCATTCATCTTGAACAATAATTGTACCGTTTCATTTGGTGAAATTGGAGCTAAATGTAGCAGCTTTTCATAATGTTAGTTTAATCAGTAACAAACCATCACAATTATTGTTACATGTCTTGTCGGTGAGAATGAAGCACAACAAAAACAGATCTGAAGGTGAAGCATGACTAAGTTATTGAAGAATAAACTTTGAATAGAAGCCATGTAACCAATATGAATTTAATGTCACAAGCACAATTTGTTACACAAAAATATTGGGTCACATTTACACAGGTCTAGAACTCAATGTACAATTAACAGACTAACTAAATACCGATAGTTAAATATGTACTCACATTGCACACAATCATTAAAACCTACACAAAAAACATGTACTGTGTGAAAGTAACACGAGTCGACATAAAAATCACATTATTTACAAAACACATCAATCTGAGATCTTTAGCAAAAGGGCTCTGATGTCTGTTCATGTTCTCCATCCGTCACTCAGAGACATTATACAATCCGTACTGTAAAAGCTCCCCGCTAGAAAGTATTATTAAGTCTCTTAATAGTTGAAAAGATTATAAAGTAATAAAGTCAAGTAGCCAGCTGAAGGACAAACTCACGGTGAGACGCTGCGCTTCGCTCCCACGGTATGGCGGTTCTTCCCTTTAAAGCAGGCTGGTGAGATTAGCAGTTAGCTTCATGAAGTGCACTTTAAGCCTTAGCTTAGCAACGGCCTGCAATGAGTTTTTATTATTATTTTTCAATGTAGATTTTCATTTATACACAGAATCTTCTATACTGGCGTTGGGTTCTCTAGAGTTCTGGACATCACTACATACAGTTTACACAGTAAGGTTGGTGGAGAGTGAGGACAGCAGCAGGTGGAGACCCCCTTCCCTGCTGCTGTTTGGCAGCGATGGTGTGAAGAGGCTGCAGGCAGGTGGAGGCCAACGTCTTAAACATCACATACATCTGTGTGTGTGTGGCAACATGTAGTGCAGGCAGTGGCATAACTATCGACTTGGCTGTGCCCGGTGGTGGTCCAACAGTTCCTCCAAGGGCTCCAACCGATAGGGGACTCTATGGCGCTATTGAGACCCCCGACGCCAAGATCAAAAGCTATATTATAGCAACCGGTCCATGTAGGCCTGCCGGGCCATCCCCCAGAGACAAACATCAAGGAAACAGGTTTAATCCTCTTCTTAGTTCGCTGTGCCGTTGTCAAGCTGTGGTGGTCTGAGGCCAGGGCAGGCTGTTGTTGAAAGCCTACATGTGGCGCTTCCGAGTGGTTGTGTATGTCCGTGCGTGTGCTTATGTTTGGGGCGATTGGGGCCCCAGAACAATATTTGCACCGGGGCCAATCACAACCTTGTTACGCCACTGAGTGCAGGGATTGGCAATACATCAAAACTGACTGTACAAACACTGCAGGCATCAGCAGAGGAGGTGGGGGGGCCTGTTGGTCTGTGGGAGGCTGCACTTAGTTTTCAGCAGGCTGATACTGCTGACTGTTTCTGTCGTTGGTTTTATACAGTATGTGCACACAAGTTATTTATGACTGAATTCCAACATGATTTTGGCTCTGATGACATCGCTCAGTAACACTGTCACATTATGCATGTGATTTGACATGGGAGCTATGACTGATGACCTCAGCAGGTCAGATGTGTGTCTCTGTGTGTGTATTAACATGCTAGCTTAGCACTGTAACACAATCCTGCTTAGAAGTAAAGAGAGTGCCGACACAAACACTTTACTGTGATGATACACATACTCCGCTCTTTAAGCATGGCGTAGAGCTGCAGTACTTCTCTTGAGCTCTTGTTTTAAAGAGGACATATTCTGCTCTTTTCTGGTTCATATCAGTATGTAGTGTCTCTACTGGGACATGTCTCCAGGCTTTAACGTTCTAAAGCTCTTTATTGTTCTCATACTGTCTGTGCTGCAGCTCCTCTTTTCACCCTCTGTCTGAGGGATTTGAGCCTTTGCAGACCATTAACATGCACACAAACCTTTAGAACACACTGCAGGAAGGGAAGCAGAATGAGCCTCTTTAAGAACAGTTCTCAATTTGCAGAGTATGCCAATGTTGTTTCCTCACACACAGTTGAGCAAGATTTGTGCAACTTCTCTTGAGTTCTAAATTCTTTTATTTAGCCTTTTGAAATGGAATGTAAAGTTGCTGTGCAAGTGTCAGCTCTACATGAACACCATCAGTTCATCAGTAGTGACATGCTGAGGGACTCTGAGTGTCATGGTGTTAATGCTCAGCACCACTTTGTCAGTGACAGCACAGCACACAGCATAAGGGAGGAATGACTTATAAATGAGTTTTTTCAAATGTTTGAGTTATTATTGAATCCTGAAAACATGATATACTCCGAACAGATGTGAACAGCAGTGGAAACTCGTCTACATCAGTGGGTGCAGGCTATTTGTTGGAACACTCGTACATTTGGGTGCAGATGCTTGCAGACATGAACCGCTGACTGAAAGGATTTCATGATCATCTTTTTGGAATTTTTGCTTTGTCAAATCTGAAAACTAGGAAGTAAAATAGTAATAAACTAGTCTCTGACGAGTACAGCTATATTTACTGTTCCGACCTCTGGACTGCAGGAGCTCCTCAGCACACAGGGAGTGATGCAGGATGACGGATGTGCATCCCACCTGCCTGCAGAGATGAGGTATGTGTATGGTCATAGATACAGACTGCAGGCTTGATAAGTGAAGTGTGTTTGAAAAGAGACGCAGACATTCACTGTGCTGCACATCAGGATCCAGCAATAAAGAAACATGAGACAACGACGAGACATCAGTCCAGTTCTGAGGGTGGGGATGGGAAAGGGGGTGTTACTCAGAGAAGGGGGGGAACATGCCGAGGTCAGCGAAGTCCTCTATGTTGTAGTTGGCTGTTCCCTGGGTGGGGTCTCCAGCCATGGGTAACATGTCCTGCAGAGACAGAGACATCACACAGCTGAGTAGAGGCAAACATTAAAGGGACATGGTCAGGTTCACTTACACAACATGCTGTGCTTTTATAACTTATTTATGCAAATGAAATATATAAAAAAAGCAAATAACTCAAGTAATATCAGGCAGTGGTGGACAGTAACCAAGTACATTTACATAAGTGTTGTACTTTGACACATTTTTGGTGATCAAATATTTATTTTGGTGATCAAATGTTTTCTTTTTCGACACATTTGTACTTCATGCAACCACTCCTCTACGTTTCAGAGGCGAATATAGTTCTTTTTACGCCACTGCATTTATTTAAACACTCAGTTACTTTGTTCCCATAATAACACATATATGCTGATGGTTTAATGCAATTGTGTACAACTTAAATGCTATGAAGAAAAACAGGATAATATTAGAACCATAATAATAAAATACTGTGAAAAGATCCATTCTGCATGCCAAGTACTTTCACTGTTGATACTTGAAGTACATTTAGCTGAAAACACTTGACATTATACTACTACTTTATGTTATTCTGAAACGGGTCGCAGAATGAGTACTTTTTGTACTTTAAGTATATTTTGATGCTATTACTTCTGTACTTTGACTTGAGAAGAATTTTGAAATAAGGACTAGTAGTGGAATATATTAAGACCATAGTACTTGTACTTAAGTAAAGGATCTGAGTACTTCTTCCAACACTGATATCAGGGACATACATATTGGTACCAGAGGGCATTTCAACTGCAGCCTGCAGCAGTGTGAGTGAGTGAGCGAGTGTGTGTGTGTGTGTGTGTGTGTGTGTGTGTGTGTGTGTGTGTGTGTGTGTGTGTGTGTGTGTGTGTGTGTGTGTGTGTGTGTGCACGCGCGTGTATGTGTGCGTGTGTGTGTTACCTGGAACACCTCTGTCTGGCTGGGGTTGGGGTGTGTGTGCTGCTCCCCCGCCTGCTGGCTGTGGTGCTGGTTCTGCCACTGGGACCACACCTCGCTGGGACGGCCCTGGAACTGAGCTCCACTCTGACTGCCCTCCCCCGACACATCTGCACACACCAGAGGGACTGTTACACATCCAGAGGAACCACAGCAGGCGGAGGTCCGATCTCACCCTGCTGTGTGCACTCTGCGCTCGGCTACAGATCATTTGTTAGACAGGAAACTGTCACACCAGGAGAATCAGAGCAGCAGGGAGATCTGACTTTAAGCTGATTGTGTCATGTCATTTTCAAAGATTGTATTCCCCCAGTTAGAAATGTATCCACATCATCTGAAAAATGCAAGTTTTAACAGGAGAGCATAGACCATCAGATTCTTCCATGTCCCGGAAGTCATTCCTCAACCTCCTTGCCATTTTCCCTGGTGTATTGCATAATAACCTGTCATTTAAATGGATTTGTAATATTTGTTGAAGTTCACAACATATCGACCACTTTGGAGATGCAACCTTTTTTTCTTCTTTTGTGGAACAACACACTACTGATTGGGGCTTATATGAGATAATGTGACGCGTGCACACAGGGGGACTTTATACAACTAACTTTGTCTCAGGAGGTCATTGTATGGGCTTCACAGCAAAGGATTATTTTCGGTGATTATGTTGACAATTATCTTTTTAATCTATCTATCTACTATACACACACCTAATGCCTGTCTGTGTGTCCTGTTCACTCCCAGAGGTTTCAAACATGTGTTGATGTTCAGTCTGGGGCTGCTTTGTATGCTGCGAGGGTCTCAGCACAGAGGGGGTCAGAGGCTGTTCACACTGTTGGCCCCCCTGAGACACAGGAGTAGTTTGTGGCATTAGGATGTAGAAATACAATTTATTGATTGACTAACTGAGATTTGGATCCGCTCCAAAATGTAACAGGTTCTTTTTTACGGCCCATGCTTCACACCTCCGGATCAGAAAAAGTGAGGCTTATTACTAAAAGGTAATGAGTTATTATTAAAAAAACACTGGGAATGTGAGGAAAGGCCTGTCCACTAAAAGCATGTGTCATCTAAAGCAGGGGTTCCCAACCTTTATTGTGCCAAGGACCGGCAGATACATTAAAAAAGAAATCCTGGTTGTCAATTTTAACTGATTTTAATATTTACTCACCAGCAGGTAGCAACAGAGACTAATTGTATGTAACAGCCTGAACAAATACTAGAACAATATGCATCCAAAACATATTAACAACGTTTACAAAAAAAAAGAAGAAAGAACCAGTGTTTTTTTTTCAACTTAATAACTTTCTTCTTGTAACTCTGGCTCGCTCATAAAGCAACACATTCATCGCATCATTGACTATTGTGAGCAGCAGCCGCACTCTGAAGATATGAACACACACACACACACACACACACACACACACACACACACACACACACACACACACACACACACACACACACCCACACACACACACACACACACACACACACACACACACACACACACACACACACACACACACACACCACCCTCTCTCTGCGAGGCTGTTAGAGTTTAGCGAGTACATTAAATGGAAGGCAAGGCAAGTTTATTTATATAGCACTTTTCAACACAAGGCAATTCAAAGTGCTTTACAAAAAATGAAAGACATTAAGAAAATGGAATCATTAAAAAGAAAAGCTAATAAAAGAAACATTAAAAGAAAAAATACATGGATAAAAGTTACAGTGCAGTCTAAGATATGAATAGTTCAATTAAAAGCAGCGACAAAAAGAAAAGTCTTCAGCCTGGATTTAAAAGTAGTCAGAGTTGCAGCGGACCTGCAGGTTTCTGGGAGTTTGTTCCAGATATTTGGAGCATAATAACTGAACGCTGCTTTACCATGTTTAGTTCTGACTCTGGGGACAGAAAGCTGACCAGTCCCTGAAGACCTGAGAGATCTGGATGGTTCATCATTTAGCAGGAGGTCAGAAATGTATTTTGGGCCTAAACCATTCAGTGCTTTATAAACCAGCAGCAGTATTTTGAAATCTATTCTTTGACACACAGGAAGCCAGTGTAAAGACTTCAGAACAGGAGTGATGTGATCCACTTTCTTAGTGTCAGTGAGGACTCGAGCAGCAGCGTTCTGAATCAGCTGCAGCTTCCTAATAGATTTTTTAGTGAGACCTGTGAAGACACCATTACAGTAGTCGAGTCTACTGAAGATAAAAGCACGGACAAGTTTTTCCAAATCCTGCTGTGACATTAGTCTTTTAATCCTAGATATATTCTTTAGGTGATAGTAGGCTGATTTAGTAACAGTTTTAATGTGACTGTTGAAACTCAGGTCAGAGTCCATGACTACACCTAGATTTCTGGCTTTATCTGTTGTTTTGAACATTGCACACTGAAGCTCAGCGCTAACTTTTATACGTTCTGACTTGGCTCCAAAAACCATTACCTCAGTTTTATCTTTGTTTAATTGGAGAAAGTTCTGACACATCCAGTCATGATTTGTTCAATGCACTTACTCAGTGTTTGAATTGGAGCATAGTCTCCTGGTGAAATTGTTACGTAAATTTGTGTGTCATCTGCATAGCTATGGTAACTTATTTTGTTGTTTTTCATTATCTGAGCCAGTGGTAGCATGTAGATGTTAAAGCGAAGAGGCCCCAAGATGGAGCCTTGAGGAACCCCACATGTCATATTTGTCAACTCAGATGTGTATTTACCTATAGAAACAAAGTTGTTTCTGTCCTTTAAGTAGGATTCAAACCAATTCAGAACTGTTTCCGAAAGTCCCACCCAGTTTTCCAGTCGGTCTAGTAATATGCTGTGGTCAACAGTGTCAAACGCAGCACTGAGATCTAATAACACTAACACTGAAGTTCTGCCACTGTCTGTGTTTAAGTGGATGTCATTAAAGACCTTTACAAGAGCAGTCTCAGTGCTGTGGTTTGGACGAAAGCCTGACTGGAACACATCGAAACAGTTATTTAAATGCAAGAAATTACTCAACTGTTGAAAAACAACTTTTTCAATGATTTTACCTAGAAATGGGAGGTTTGATATGGGCCTGTAATTGTTCATTACTGAAGCATCTAGATTATTCTTTTTTAAGAGCGGTTTAATGACTGCAGTTTTCAGGGCCTGTGGAAAAACACCTGAGTGAAGAGATTTGTTTACTATATGAAGTAGATCTGAGGCCATGCAAGGCAAAACATCTTTGAAAAATCCTGTTGGAATAATATCAAGGCAGCAGGAGGAGGATTTCAGAAGTTGAATAATGTCCTCTAGGTTTTTATCATTAATATGATGGAATTGTGTCATGATGTCTGAATTGATGTTAAGTGGAGATAGGGACAACACATTTGCTGTTCCTGATGCAGAGGCACTGACTGCTTGTCTGATGTTCTGAATTTTGTCAGTGAAGAAGGCAAAATCATTGCACGCCCTGGTGGATAGAAATTCAGAGGCTACTGACACTGGGGGGTTAGTTAGTCTGTCGACGGTAGCAAACAAGGCACGTGCGTTGTTTTTGTTTTTGGTAATGATGTCAGAGAAGAACGATTGTCGTGCGTTTTTCAATTCCAAATTATAAAGGCCAAGTCTCTCTTTATAGATTTCAAAGTGAACCTGGAGATTTGTTTTTCGCCACCTACGTTCAGCTTTTCGACATTCTCTTTTTTCTGTTTTCACGCTCATGGCCTTTCTCCATGGAGATATGTTCTTGCCAGACACTTCCTTTACCTTAGTTGGAGCAATGGCATCTATACAATTTTTTATTTTTGAATGAAAATGATCTACGAGCTCATTTACTGAGATGTTGGCAGGGGAAAGTGTGGAAGAAAGATTCCTAGTAAACATTTCCCTAGTGTTTTCAGTTAAATATCGCTTTGTGGTTATCTCTTTTTGAACATTTTTGTGAACAGAAATAGAGCTCTCAAAGAAAACTCTCAAAGAAAACACAGGAATGTATTCGGATCTGGAAGCAGATTGATAAGCTGTCTGCCCCCCCCCCTGCAGAGGAACATTCTGCCGTTTCACAATAATAAAGCTCATCTCATCAGCAGGCACTCAGAGAGGCAGAGGCGCTGAAGCAGAAGGAACAGACACAGAGAGGAATGTCATTTACAAAGGAGGCTGAACACATCGAGTGGAAAGCTACAAGATAAGGCAGAAACACAACTGTTCATAAGTGAAGAACACATGGAACCACAGAGCGATAAATCACTGGGTGTAGGGTTGGTAATGAAAACAGGTTCTGTATGTCGACGTGAAGCAGGGTATAGAACGTTACTTTTTGGAATAAATGATGATTTATTTTGCTTTTACAAACACTGAAGCAATTGGGCAGCTATTGGATATTTAGTGTAGGTCATACTTAGGCCACCACTTTGAACTAACTTGTGAATGCAAAAGCAATGCACAGTATTTTAAAAACATTTTATTCAATAACAGAAATCAAATTAACATTTAATGTTAATGTGTATGAAGTGATTTGTAAACAGGAATAGTAATTTGACTAATGTTTCCTAATGTAAACAGGAATCAAAATTAAACCGATAAGAACCGGAATCCATAAGCAGAACCGAAATAGGAACCAGAATGGTTAAAATCCAAATGATAAACAACTCTAACAAGATGTAAGTAGCTCAGTCTGTAGGCACTTGGGAACTAGGGCTGCAACAAACGACTAATTTGATAATCGATTAATCTATCGATTAATGAAACGATGAATCGACTATTCGGACTATTACTGTACGCCTTGCACAATTTCTCAAACGCTCTTATTTAGCCATCAACTTTTAGATTTAGCTTGAGGTTGTTTTAGGCATGTGGAAACTAACAATGAAGACAATCAAGATGAATACTTGATTCAAAAATACATATATTATTAAATTAACTTAACAAATTGTTTACAAAATTAACATTGCTTTTTATTTAAATAAAATAAATAATATTTCACATCAAAAGAAACAACAATGTTTTAACAAATGGTATTAAATAATCTGATGACAGAACTGTAAACAGAATAGCTGAAACTTTAACAAAATAAAGAGTAACTCAGTTTCCTCTAATCATTAACCCATGTTTGTATAATGTAGTTAACTCTGTGTTGCTGCTAGCATACATAACACCTGACGTGGAAACGTTACTCGTGGATGGGGCTACAGAGCTACTAGAAAGACAGTCGAACCCGGTGCATTCCTCCGTCTGGATGTGGAGCACTTTTGATAAATGTTTAGACACATTGCTCGTGTTACCGCCCTTACATGCTAAACACTCTTGGCAAGGAGCATTGTCCACCTCAAGACGGGTAACATTTAACCACACCTTGGAGCGCTTCTCTCCGCCATCCCCGCCATGTGTTGCTGCATGTAGCAGCTGCGTGTGTGTAAACTGCCCCGCCCCCTCGCACACAGACGGGGGAGAGAGATCTCGTCTGGATTGGAAAGATCGATAATACACCGACCATAGACGCATTTTTTTGTCTTTTTGCATATTAGAAACGAGTTGGCGACTCTAAGACTGCGATATAATGTTTTTGTAGCAATAATACATAGGCTATGACATATATTTTTAAATGTCTCCAGTACCGATAAAAAGACCGATAACGTTGGAGCTTAACGCGCGTAAAACACACGTGATGACGTCACCAACGAATCGACGACTGAATTAGTTGGCAACTTATTTGGTCATCGATTTTAATCGATTAAGTAGATTAGTTGTTGCACCCCTATTGGGAACTGAAGGGTTGCCGGTTCAAGTCCAGATTGGACCAAAACTGCCAGGTGGCCTCCTAGGGCTGTTTTCATGAAACTTGGTGGAGGTGTGTGGCATGGGCCAAAGAAGAATATACATTTATATTTTGGAGCAGATCCGAATCACAGTCATTCATTAATCAATCAATCACATTTTATCTATACAGCCCAATATCCCCTGGGCAATGCTGAGGTGTCCTTGAGCAAGGCACCAAACCCCCAACTGCTCCCAGGCGCCAGAACACTGACACATAGGTCCTGTTTGTACGTGTGTGTAATTCTGGCTTATGTCTGTAATTGTAAATAACACCAGAGAGAAGAACTACAATATAAAGTAATAAAAACTAAAGAGAAAGGCAGGACACACACACACACACACACACACACACACACACACACACACACACACACACCACACACACACACACACACACACACACACACACACACACCACACACACACACCACACACACACACACACACACACACACACACACACACACACAACACACACACACACACACACACACACATACACACACACACAGAGGAGATGGCAGAGAGAACGCGCTCCGAGGTGTGGTTAAACTTTACCCGTCTCGATGCTCGTTGCCAAAAGTTCAATAAGAGTTTAGCATGTGAGGGCGGTAACACGAGCAATGTGTCTAAACATTTAGCAAAAGTGCTCCACATTCAGACGGAGGAATGCACCGGGTTCGACTGTCTTTCTAGCAGCTCTGTAGCCCCATCCACGAGTAACGTTTCCACGTCAGGTGTTCTGTATGCTAGCAGCAACACACTGAGTTAACTCCATGATACAAACATGGGTTAATGATTAGAGGAAACTGAGTTATTTAGTTTGTTAAAGTTTCAGCTATTCTGTTTACAATTCTGTCATCAGATTATTTAATATGATTTGTTAAAACATTGTTGTTTCTTTTGATGTGAAATATTATTTATTTAATTTAAATAAAAAGCAATGTTAATTTTGTTCACAATTTGTTTAGTTAGTTTATATTATTTTTGTACTCCAAAAGAACCGATAAAAGTACCGTTAAAAGACCGGACCGATAAGCAATATCGATGAATGTAGTAGTACCGTTAAAACCTTAACGATACCCATCCCTACTCGTGATGTCTTTATATTGTTTAATCTGTCATCAAATATTGACCTACAAATGTTTTGACCAAGTGTTTCTGCTCCACAGGTGTGTGGACACTGGGACAGACATGAGCAGTCCCCACAGGACGAGTAGGGCTGGGGTGTTAAACACAATTTGTTAACTGAACAATGAGTACTGTGTCTACTTTGTAAGAAGGGAAATAAACATACAAACCTGCTTTATCTTTCAAACATCTTTCAAACCCTAACCCATGTACAAGATAGATCTAGGCTATTTGTTTGCTAATGGTTGTTTAAACTGTCCTATGACTTGCATAGATTAAGAAAAGGAAAAACTGTCAAGAAATAATAATTCAAGAAAGAGTCAGACTTTTTTTTAGGTCAACTTCAGGCAGAACTTTAATTCAATGTTCTGGGATTAAAAAGGAATGTGTGAGATGAAGCGTTTATGTGAGTAAGGGGGGTTCATGAGTCAGCTGTTTGTGTCTAAAGTAGACCTGCAACAGTAAATGCTGGACACTATGTTTATGATACACAAACATTCACTAAGAAATAACTGCTTGCCACAACAGATCTGTAAATGTTTATGTAATCAGTGTAAATAAAGTTAAAGTGCATGACTATGTTGTAGACTTAGTAAATAAACGTAATAATGATTACATTTGAACATTTAAAGTCTTTGTTTGGGACATTTTAGTGTTAAACTTCCAAACGGAGAGAACAAAATAAATAAAATAATAAATTATATAAATAAATTAATTACTATTCTCCCCCCAAAAAATATTTATAGGAATTGTAATTAATTCAGAACGCTGCGGCCAGGATTTTAACAAACACAAAAAAAAGGTATCACATTTTCCCCCTGTGCTGGTTACCGTTGTCTTTCAGAACTGATTTTAAAGTGCTTTAATGATTTACAAGGCTTTACAGAACCTGGACCCTGCATACATCAGGGACTGCCTTTCATTTTGCACACCTACAAGGTCAGATCCTCCAATGCCTAAAGTACCTAAAGTATTTCACAATCTTGGATCTTTGAACAGCAAACTCCATTGGAGTTTGCAAAAGTAAATGAAAGACCTATCTTTTTAATTTGGTTTTTAATTTGAGGTAATTTTAGTGGTACCACTGTTCATGTTTCATTGTTTTATGGTTGATATTATTGATATAACTCTTTCTGTTTGTTTATTAGTTGTTTGTAATGATTTCTTTATTTTGTATCTGTCTTATTATCAGGGGAGCACATAACTGGTACGCAGGTACGCATGCGCGGCAAACATCTGAAATGCGTACCGTCACTTGTCTCACCAAGCGCATTTGCGTCCTGGCGGACTTGTGAAGCATTTCCAGAAGGCGCTTCGATCACTGGACGACAGAGCCGGTCGCCGTGCACACAGACAGGGCCGCTGTTAACGTCGGTGTGTACAACGGAATTGTGCCACAACTTCTGGCGCGAGTTCCACGCGAATGCTCCACTAGCGCCCACCCCTCCCATCAACGTTCAATACCACACCCCCAGCCACCCCCCCCCCGTCGACGTTCGCGAAACAGAGGGGCTGAACACATAACCTTGCGTGGGCAGCCCTGAGTACCAAACAATGTCTCCTGGTACTCATTTGAGTAACTCACTAAGAAAGTTATGTGCACCCCTGCTTATAAGAACGAAGAGAGAGAGGCTCACCAAAAGCTGTGCTGCGGTTGGTCAGTCCTGAGTAGGCGTTGCCGCTCGGGGAGGAAGTGGCCGGAGACGACAGCGGGCTGTAGGAGGCGGGGTCCGTCTGGTAGCTGTGGCCAGAACCAATCCCAAAGGGGCTGGACTGGGCTTTACTGGACTGTATACACAGGGTGGATACACAGAGGTTAGCATCACACAAGATACAGGGTTCACCACTCAGTGCACTCTCATTAGTCTTTATTGGGGTACCTGACAAAAAAGGCAAACATTTTAGTGATGTTAAAATTCATTTTTTTATTCACATGAAAATAATTATAATAAATGATCTTGATCCATCTGCTCAACCCAGAAGCAGTAAACTCAAAAAAATCTAAAATCTAATATCTAATCCAGGGGGGGGGGGGGGGGGGGGGTCGTTCCCTGACTCTCTATAATGAAGGTGGCAAGATAACCCATAGCGTGTGTTCACCTTGTAATCATGCCTTTATTCAAAACTAAAAAGGGGGACATATGTGTTTTGTTTCGGGACAAAATACAACATTTAACACAATATATTATACTGAAACACTTGGTGAATAGGTAGGAATAGAATAATGGACAAGAATGTTTGGTTGCACATATCTATTACATACTTTTTTCCCATTCATATGAAAGTTAAGAACCAGGTTAAAAAGTACCTGAAATGTTTTTTGACTTCATAGACAATGTGAGGTGGCTCACAGTTGGAGTCGATAAAGGTACAGTCTGAAATGCCTCATTCTTTATATCATCTGCATAATGTTTGATCAGAATTTCTCATATTTGTCAGGACATTGAAAATGTTGAAAACCTGACCAACATCTAAAACATAACTAATAGGTTTGATCTGGACGTCTGCTAACAGGCACCAGAGAGAATTTCAGGAGAAAATGAGTTGCTGAATGAATGCAATATTATCACTGGTGGTTGTGTGTTCATGTGTGTGTGTGTGTGTGTGTGTGTGTATTACCTGTCCAGAGAAGGGGGGGCGGTTGCCTGACCATGCCACCTGCCCTGGGTTTAGCTGTCTGGAGATCTGAGCTAGATTCTGATTAGACGAGCCTGATGGCTGTATGTCATTGACACCGGGGACATGGATCACTGAGGAGCTGTGTTCACAAAGAGAGACCCACACAAGACAAGTATGAAGTATGATATTTCCTCCAGTGCTACCCCAGCTGAGGCCTGACATCATCACAGTGGTGAGCCGTGACTTTTATACCCAGGCCATCTGAGCCCTTCGCTCGAAAAAAAAAAAAAAAAAAAAAGAGTTATTATATATAATTAAGCCTTAAAGTTATGCATATATTAGGGCGTGGTCACATTGAGTGACAGCTCTGTCAAGTGACTGCTGCTGCTAGCTTCTTGTCTCTCTGCTAGCTGCTCCGTGAAGCTAGCTACAGGGACTCTGCCTGGTCAGTTCATCCAGGAAACACAACTTGAAGCCGGCCGTGGTTGTTTGTTCTTCATGCTTATATATCGGACTATTGTGACTCGCTCTGCGGTTGAAACAGACGGTGCATGAATGCGGTTCTGCGGTAAGTGAAATTCTAGTGCTTTATTTATGTGTTAATGATTTTAATCAGCTACGTAATGAATGTTAAGGCTTGGGTTAGCGTGTAAGCGAGTGGTAGCTACATCGGTGCGAACGATGCTAATCGTAGCCTCCAAGTTAAAATCATAGACTGTATATATAAAGGTTAAAACGAAATAGACAAGTGTTAAGCGTTAAGTGGGATAATACTGTTGAACAAACGGCTTCTGTTTGAGGTTGATAAAATAAGGTCATCCTTGTAACTTAGAGATATTTTATTATGTAGGTAGGAACTGTATGCATCTAAGGTTAATTTAAATTGGCTATGCTCAAGTATGTAGACAAGCTCATGTCGAAGTAGTGTATGTGAAATCAACCTCACAATAAGATGTGTGTATATTACAAATAATAATGTCATATTTCAAGATGATTACTTAGATATTACAATATGGTTGGTTGAGCTGGAGTTCATTATTGAGCTTACACGTTAACGTCACAGTCATCTGAAGAACGAACCCAAACCTTGTTTTTATTAATTGCATTACCAAATGGGTATCAAATAAACAGTAAGCATTGGTAACACAACTTTCAAAGTTACAGTAAAATAAAAAGGACCCTGACTCGGACAATACACAATCCAACATGTTCAACAGAAGAGAATCAGTTATATTGTTTGTACACATGGTACTTTACATATATATCTGTTTGTTTAAGGTGTCCAGGTGATGCAGACAGGCTGGACCAGAGAGTGAGAGACAGAACTGGACTCCTCACAGCAGTGAACTTCAGCACAGGTACAAAGACTCTATTTTTCATACTGTACAAAGAATCAAGAAAGATATTGGTTTAAATGAATGAAGTATTGACTTTAATACACTGATATACATTCCATTAAACAATATTAAATACTAGATCACCTACACATCAGTTAAGTTGAGGGTTTTTTCCATGCAAAAAGTTACATTTAGATATTTAGCAATATGACTTTGTCAGCTTTCTAATTTAATGTATTGAAGGCAAAGATATTTAACACAGTGAGAACTGCTACTATTTATCTCTCAATATTGTCTGTAAAAAACGTGGTAAAAGTTATTCTTTCAGTGAGACAACAGAGCAAGCTTCTACAGTTGCACTACGTTTTGATAACAGTTAAATATTATTTTGATAACATATATTTCAATGTTGATGAACTTCATACTGTTCATTCATAATCTGATTGTCTTTGTAGCTCACTGTTGAAATAAAAAAAAACATTACAATTACAAAATAATGATATCTACAGCCCCTAAACACACAAACACACCGCTTTCATAAATAACACACTTGTTCTGCAATAATATGTTTTATGTTTCCTGTCATTTTTGTTAGGAAAGGACATGCCTGAATGACACGACATTTTCTCCTTCTCTGAGGGTCAAGAAGAACATCCAAGAGGAACATTAAAAGCTGATGTTATGAGATTTTAAGAAGGTGTAAACCTATTAAATGTATAAGTAAACACATTTAGTCAAATAAAGTGACAGACTAGGCCTGTGCGGTTGGTATCAGCTGTGCCCAGCATGGGCTCCTCCATCAGGCCTGGTCCTCCTCGCTGAGGAAAGACCCTCAGTCCTCTCCAAACCAACAGACAGGACGTCCATCACACGGAGGTTTCTCCCTGAAGTCTCTGCAGCTCTCTGGACACCATGCTGTCTCAATCCGTCCACACTGAATATGAGAGGGGAAAAATGAAAATAATAAATGCTTTAGACAATAAGAAACATAAAGTTGACTGTTGAGTTGCTCAGTTTTTTTTAGATTGTCAATACTATTACTGTATAACTAATATCTCAGGTTAAGAGGCACATTCAAATAAAGATTGGTCTTTAAATACATTTTGTCTTTTGAATTGTTTGTCTAAAGTCAAGGATCTAGAACTGGTACTTAGTTTTAATGATAGTCTGGTTATTATGCTGTTTGGAGGAGGCCTCACAGGTAAGAGCACTAACTAGCTACCATCACATGTACCTTAGCTTGACTTAAATGTATTAAACGTATAATTAAGTGATATCAAAATATAAATAACTAATGTCATGCAAACATATTAATATTTGCTTGATTCCAGTGATGAATTTAGCACAATTGCATACACACGTTAAGGGGTTTTAAGATTCTGAAGTATTATGCTAAAAATTCAATAACTTAGATTATTATTTATAGTTTTGCTGAATAGTTTCATGTCCGCTTACCTTAGAAACGTAAAATGCGACGGCAGTGTGCAGATGGGGAGCATGTTAGCTTAGCTTGGTAGCTTCAGCTAGCTCTGGAACTTCCAGCTCGGTGGCAGCAGGTCCCGCCTCGGCTCCGCCTCTTTGCCCTTATTTGGAGCAGGCGGGAGTTGAACTCTGACGTCACTGTTGCGCCATTAGTGGCCGACTCCGCCTACTAAGGGCTTCTCTGCAACTCTGCAGAATCCTATGGGTGACGTCACAGACCCTACGTCCATTTAATCATGACACAAGAGAGGACGGCAGGACTGCAATTTCCCGTGTTCAGTGAACAAAGTGCAACAGGCAAGTCACCAGACCAATCAGAGAGTTGCATGGAAATACACATGTGCTTGTGTCATTCAAGCTCGGCTCTGTGTGTGTGTGGCAATAGCGCATTTAGTGTGATAGAGAGAGAGAGAGAGGGAGAGGGAGAGAGAGGGAGAGAGAGGGAGAGGGAGGGAGAGGGAGAGAGAGGGACCGGTGCTAGCGGGGACCGTGATGTTAGCATCTGGTTAGCTAGCTGCACTAACGGACATAAGCAGCTGTTTCCACAACAAGCTGGAGGAGAGTCCTCCCCTGTCAGACTGAGGGGCTCAGGTGAGCTAAAGGACTCTGAGTGTTTAGAACGGTTTTGTCAAAAATTATTCAAAAGATTATTTCCGCGGCACACCTTCATATGATCATTATAGTTATACAAACAATAAGAGAATAAATGAAAAACAGGTATGAAATACTATATGGCAGTAAAACAAGAATACAGTTTGATTTGAAAAAAAAAACATAAAGAAAAAGAAAACCTGTTTACAGTTCTGTTTCATATGCGTGCTGAGATAAGGTGACCAGATTTTCAAAATTAAAACCGGGGACATTTTGAGTTTTGCGGTCAATATATCATTAACATATCCAATTTTCTTCACTGTTAAAGAAAAAAGGGGTACAATTCTGGTTCAATGTTCAACATTTTAACTGTTGGACACAAACAGAAGGACGATAGCTCACGAGACTTCAGGTCTTTTATTTTGAAACTGTACATCAGATTGTCCAGATTCTGTCTGAGTGACTAGATGGGGTCTCCTGCTATCACCCTGAAGAGAAATAAGTCTTTGATAATTTGACAGTTTTTTATTTATTCTTGAATAAAAACAGAAGGACGATAGCCCATATGAGATTTCAAAAGTATTTTATTTTGAAACTCTACATTAGTTGTCCTGATTTTCTCTGATTGATTAGATGGGGTGTCCTGCTATCACCCTGAAGTGAAATAAGTCTTTGATACTGGATCGTTTTTGTTTTATTCTTATCTAAAAACAGAGGGATGATAGCTCATATATGAGACTTTAAAGGTCTTTTATTTTGAAACTCTACATCATATTGTCCAGATTCTCTCTGAGTGACTAGATGGGGTCTCCTTTCTGCTATCACCCTGAAGTGAAATGAGTATTTGATTGACTTCGAATGACTCTTTGATTATGGACGGTTTCCATTCAATAATAATCAAAATATAGATGGACAATAGATCTAATTTGAGATTTTAAACAGCATACATTTTAAATTGTGCTTCAGAAAGTAATGTTATTTTAGGAGTGTTGTGAGATGGTGTCAACATCAATTGAAATTAGTCACCCAGTGGAAATGTCAGATATGTCTTCATAACTGTATCCTTACATTTTACATTCACTCAGTTATAATGTGGTAGTTATACGTAGTTTGTTTTACATTATTATTGATCACTTATATAGTACATATTTCTTCATTTAAGCTCCAGTATATATGAATATGTTTGGTGTGTTTTTTAGGTATATTTGTTATTGACCGAGTAAACGCTTTTATTTTGAAGGCAGTTTTTACAGGCCTCTACCGTAATGCATAGGATATTCACGCACCGCAATTCAACGTGCGGGCTGGCTTGACTGTGTTTCCCGAAGTGGGGGCTGGCTTGACCACAGTCTGTTTACCCAGTGTTTCCTGACATGAAACGTTTTATTTCACCTTGCTATGTGTTTTTAACGTATATAAAAAAACGGGGACATTTCCGGGGACAGTTTCAACCGGGGACAGGCCAAGACAAACGGGGACTGTCCCCGGAAAACGGGGACGTCTGGTCACCCTATGCTGAGAGGTATCCATAGATCTCTTCAAGTTGCTCTCAAAGTGCACCAGATTGATGCTTTCAATTGAGCATCCCCCCAGGACCCCCCTAGAGGAGGTGAGGACCCCCCTAGAGGAGGTGAGGTCCGCCCCCCACTCATAAAAAATAGCACTTTACCCCTGCCTATATTCCGTGAGCTGATTATGGAGCCTTCATTGTAACAGTAATTCAGATGCAATTAGTCTATATAAAAGGCCTCAAATTGGAAGCACTGTCTGGGCCGTCTTTTTCACTCAATTCTGCAATAGGTAGATCTCGCCTTTCACCTAGGCCGAGGTCGGTGATCTTGGGCTTGAAAAGGTTGGTGACCACTGGCCTAGATGGCCCTGACGGCACGCCACTGTCACACTGTACCTGAAGCTCTTCCCAGAGTGTCCCTGCTGGAAGGGAGAGCTCTGGGAGTACAGCTGCTGTCCTCCAGCTGTGGAGGAGGGGACCATCATCTTCTTATCTGCAGCTACACACACACACACACACACACAAACACCACACACACACACACACACACACACACACACACACACACACCCACACACACACACACACACACACACACACACACACACACAACACACACACACACACACACACACACACACACACACCCACACAACACACACACACACACACACACACACCAGGGTCAGCACTATGACAGGAACAAAGAGGAGAGTATATAGGTCACGTGAGTGTGTGTGTGTGCACGTCTTACAGCCGGAGATGCCGCTGTACATCTCTGCGAAGCGGGGGTCTCTCTCCTGGGAGAACAGCACTTCTGTCTTGTCGATGTTCTTCCCCGCCTCGTGGACTCCACTGCTGACACGGCCACAGGCACCTGAGGGGGGGGGGGTAATGGTTGATGATGTTAGGGATGACAGACCTAAGTCAAACAAATTAAGAATACAACACACGTTTCACAAGCGACTCTATTTCAGCTTTTCAGGTGATTAGCCAATCAAAAGAAAGATGTTGAGATTAATTGACAATTCTAGTTTCCTACATCCTGAGAATGACTTCCCAGTAAGGACTGCTCTATTCCTGCTAGTGTTTACTGAACCTGTCTACATGTGTTATGCAAATAAAATGCACAACATTAAGTGAAAAAACTGTTATTTGCTGTGGGTCTTTCCATCTGGAGCCCTGTTCCCAGAGTGTGATCACATGGTGCCAAGGTGGAGGGATACCTGGACAGGTCGTAGGCCGTCAGTCCGTCTCTCTGGTGCACCTCCAGCTCCGCCTGCTGCTGCTGCTGCAGCTGCCTGCACCCACACAACACACACTCCATCAGCACTGCACACTGACACATTCAGTATTTGAGGCGTACTTTGTTTTAAATTCCATTTAATAAGACAACTTTCATGATAAAAAAAAGGTAATCTTCATATCATTGAATCATCATGTAGCTGTGTTTTGGAGCAGGAATACATTATTTCTTTTAAAACGGCTTAGTTGAAGAATGGATTCTGATTGGTCAATTTGGACATTCCAGAGGACTGCTATTTTTCCCCGGCAGACCGCTGCTAAGGAGGAAGGGATGTTGTGAAAAGTTAATG